ATACATATTTTACCCCTTACTAACTTTCTAGATAGTAATTTTTAACTTTATATATCTTATTTAATATAACTTTAATTAAAGTAGTATTGGAAGTAATTAATTCCTTAAAACTAGGTACTTTAATTAATTATATTAAAATTATAAAATAATTTAGTATTAAGTAATTAATATTATTAAGGTATTACTATAGGGTTTTATATTTAAAAGACTACTAATATAAGTAATAGTAAGCTTTTAATAACTAATATAAAAAAGAATTTATAAAATATATTAATAAACTTATTAAATAAGGCCTCTTTATATTTTATAAAATATTATATAATTTTATAAAGGAAATAAATAGATAAAAGCTTAAAAAATACTAGCCTAGTTACTTTTTAAAGTAATACTAAGATAATCTTATTTTAACTTATATAATTACTATTAATATTATATAAAAATAAGCTAATTCTATATATAAATATATGCTATATTTTAAATTATTATACTAGAAATTAGAGAAATATAAGCTATATATAGAGAATATCTATAATATAGATAAAAAAAGTTTTTTTATTAGAATATTTATTAAAGGTCTTAGGATCTTTTTTAAGTAAAAATATAAGAATAAGGCCTTTAAGTAATATCTATAAGATAAAAATTAAGAATAAATAATTTTAATTACTTATATTTATATTAATAGAAGCTTGCTCTTACTAGATTTTATTTACTAGATTACTAGTAATAATATTTAGGATTTCTAGCTATAAGATTTTAATTCTAAGTTTTATATTTATTTTTTTACCTTTTTTATAAGTAGTTAAATAAATAATAAGCTAGAATATACCTAATTAATAAATATATTTAACTAGGAGATAAAGAAAAAAGTATAGAGGTATTAGAGATTTTTAATTTTTAATAATTATAGATCTTATCTTACTATAAAGTTTATTAATTACTATAATACTAATAAGATTCTTTTAATAACTTATTTATTTTATTTAATTTATTTATTATAGTTACTTAATATTAGAATCTTTAGTTCTTTTTTTATTACTTATAATAAGAATTTAGAGAATTTCTTATATAAATTAATAGATCTTAATTATATTATTAAGTAAGATTTCTTCTACCTCTTTTAGCTAGCCTAGAATTAAACTTTATTATTAAAAAATATACTTTCTTTATAGAAAATTATTAGGATATTATTACTTAATTTTAAGATTATTCTAGTTTAATTTAATAGAAAGAAGAATTTATAGCTATTATCTAGTAATTTCTTATAATTAATTCTATAAGTAAAGGACTAGAAAAAGATTAAAAAACTTTTAAATTATATAATTACTAATATATATATTAAGAATATTAAGAAATTAAATTTTATAATATATTATTTTTTTTATAAAGAATATAATCCTTAAATTATATTATAAGGGCCTTGAATTAATTCTCTAGAATAAGAAAAAGAAGTACTAGTATAGTAAGTCTTTAAAATTTAAGCTTGTAATATCTAAAAATAGTAATATAATATTTTACTTTCTATAAAAGATTTAGCAAGCCTATAATCTTTAAAAGTAGAAAGATAAGGCTATATAACTTACTAAGATCTTAAAGAAAGAAGAAAAGATCTATTAATAACTTACTAAAGAGAAGAAATAATACTTACTTAAAGAATATAAAAGAAATTAAGTATCTTAATAAAAATTATAGTTATTAGAGGTAGAGTAGAAGAAATAATAGAAGAAGAAGGCATACTTAGTAAAAAAAATAAATTATTAGCTTTAAAATAACTTCCAGGAGGTAAAGAAAACTTTAAAGAAGATATTTATAATTTTATACTAATTAGAATTTATAAAAATTAGACTAATAATCTCTATAAATATTATTAAAGCCCCTCCTATAGTAAATTATTAAGGCTATGAGATTTAACTACTATACTACTTTTAAAATAACTAAAAATCATCTATAGACTATATCTAATAACTACTTTTAACTACTAAAAATTTAAGAGATAATATTAATTATATATGATTAAATTACTTTATGTTGGTTCTTATAATTGGTAGTGATTTCATGCATCAGGTGGGGCCATGTATCAGGTGATCACTAACTGTAGTATATAGTAGGTATAAAATAAATCTATAATATCTAAATCTCTTCTAGGTATAGGAGGTATAACTAAATAACTAGATAAGATAAAATTAAGGAGATTCTTTAATATTATAAAATTAGGATAATAAGAGCTAGATATTAGATAAGAATAAGATACTTATAGCTAGTATTAATAGTAATAATTTTCTAGTAATTAAAAATAGTTAGTATATTCTTAAAAATCTTAAAATAAAGTAAGATTATAAAGTAATATATTTTAGAATTTAATTAAAATATTCTAGACTAGAAAGAATATTAAGAAGTTATTAAGTAATTTTTTTTCTAGAATAAAATATTAAAACTTTATAAAGTAAGTATTAAAGTCTAAATTTCTTTATTTCTAATTATAAAGGTAGCTTTAAGTATTTTAAACTTAATTAGGATTTCTAAATACTATTTTTAGGTAGTTAAGTAGGTTAGAATAATCTAAAAACTAGAGAATATTAAGTCTTATTTTAAATAGGATTAATTTATAAGCCTTTTTAATTAGATATCTTATTATATAGATTAATCAGGCTTTAATAACTAGAAAATAATCTAGATTAATATCTATCTTATTATAGATTTATTATATAAAGTAATAAAAATTAGAATAAATATTATTAAATTTCTATAAATTAGAGAATTTCTTATTAAGATAAATAATAGAGAAAGAGCTAGTAAAAATAAGTATAGATATTCTTATTATATTAGCTATTATAATTTTAATAAGAGAGGTATGTTTAGTAAGAATAAAAATAATAGTAGAAATAAATATAATTAAAGTAATAATAATTTATAGTATAATAAATATATACTTTAATTTAATTAATTTCTATTAAATAACTTTTAATTTTTTTTTCTAGTATAGTACTACTCTCTTCTTCTTAATTAATTCTAGGCTAGCTTTATTAATTTAATTTTAGAGAGTATATATCTCTTTCTTTAAAAAATTAGTATATTTATTATAAAACTTAAAATAAATAATTTAAATAATAAGATTATTAGTAATATAACTTATAAATTTCTTAATTAAATTTATAATTAAAAGTAGTTTAAATTATTTTAATATACTAATAATAATTATATCTAGAGAAAAAACTATATAATATTATAATAAGTAAGTAAATAATAAATATAACTAATAATAAAGTATATATTCAGGCTATCTATATATAAGTCTAATAAGTAAGGATTAGGTTAGGATAAGGATATAGCTTAAAGAGCTATAATAGGATTAGGAGTAATATAGCTTAAATATAGGAATAGAAGTGGATAGTTAGGGCAGAATCTTAACCAGATAGGTATATGGCTACGCCGTGACATATTATAAAATATAAACTAATTATTAAAGATAATTTATATATTACTATATTATAAGATAAGAAATTTAATTAAATATTTATAATATTTAAATATTTTATTTATAAAAAAAATTAAATTAAAAAAATTTTAAATTATATTATATTAAAAAGATTATTAATTTATATATTTATAAATTTAAATTACTTAAAAATATAAAAATTTATTTTATATTTAATATATTTTTACTTTATTTTATTACTAATAATTCTTTATCTAATTAATATTTTAATTTACTATTACTTATTAAAGTTAAAGGATTAGAAGAATAAGAAATTAAAGAAATTTTTAATTTTTAATAAATTTATTAAAATTATAGTAAATCTAAATTATAATATATTATTAAATAAATTAATTATAATAATTTAATTAAAAAATTTATTAAATATTTAAAAAATATTTATTAATTAATAAATAATTATTATCTTTATTATTTTAAAAAGCTCTAGTTATTTTCTCTCTAGATTTTAATAAAATTTAATTTTAAGAAAAAAAATATTATTATAATATAAAATTATAATATTTATTTATTAAAATTTTATTTAGATTATTTATTTTTATTCTTATATTTAAATTATATTATTTCTAATCTTATTATAGCTTTTTAAACTATATCTTATCTATTATCTAGTACTTACTATTCTGCTATTCTATCTAGTTAGCTCCTAAGTTAATGAATATCTGAGTCCGACTCTGCACCCTGACAAAGATACTTTAAATATTCTTACTATTAATAACCACCCTACTAAATTAATTATTAAATTTTACCTCCTTATTTTAATACCCTCTTTCCATTACTACTAGTAGTCTAGAGTAGAGTAATATTATCCTATTCTAGGACCTAACCTAGTCCTGAGCTCGGCCTGCCAACCTGCCACTTTCCTAGTATGGTATTCTGCCCACACCCGACACCTCGCTACAGCTTGCCTGAGGTAGCTGAACCACTATTCCATTTACAATAATTAGAGGCTGAGGAGCGTAAAGGACTCCATAGTGGGTGTGAAGGCTTGGTTCACCCAGGGGCTTTGAACTGGATGTAGATTAGAGTGACATAGTACACTATTATGAGATTGCAAAAAGAAGGACAATAATCATGTACTGATAGAAAAGCTGGACTCTGAGGTTCCCCTGGTCTGAGCTCAAGAGTTTCTGTTTACACCAGCGCAATAGCCACGTACGCGTCTGGTATGATAGGCCGGGATTACATGCTTCCGTTCCATTCCCGCTTCGCGGTCTCTGGAAATTGCCGGCCTCCTGTGGATCCTTCCTCCCGGTTGAAGTGAGTTGTTTTGTTGGAATCTTGGATTACTATCTCAACGCGCTAGCTACTCTTATCCCTGGATAGGGGGTTACGTGTGGTAAAGTGACACCGGAACATAGCTAATCCGCTCCGGTGAGGATCCTCCAGTGCTTCACGTCAGCACTCCCATAAGGCATGATCGACAGCGGGGTAGCTTCCAGATTAAAAAACGGTGGAGCCTCTCCATAGGACCCATTCCCTCACAAATAGGCTTAGACACTGCGGGTACTCTACCTTCCTTCTTCCCCACCCAACGCCTCCCGACTCTCATTGGATCCCATCAGGTCTACTTGTGCAAAAGAGCAAGCAGTCTTGTGTTGTCTGTTTCAAGTGTTGAATTTCGAATTCCGTGAAACATGGATCTGCCAGAGAAATTTCCTCCAAGCATGGTCCTGGCTGGAGTCGCCGACCACCTCCATGATTATCACAGTGAACTTCGCGTCTCCCTTTCCTCCAATCACGTGGCGTACGAAGAAGCTCTTGTTGCAACTCTGGATTGTGTGCGCGGCCTTAAGGACCGCATTCTCCTACCAACCACAAATCCGGCCCGGCGAGAAGCCTTACGACGAAAGGCCCTCGAAAACAAAAATTTGGAGAACACTCGCATCTCATCAAGCCGACCTATCCGAACCTCGGGCAAGTTGGAATCCGCAGATTTTCCAGAGCCGCTCTCTCCAGAACGCCGTGCCTTGTTGAAGAAGAAACTACTGGCTGAAAATATGCCCCCACCGCAAGACCATTATGTGCTCGAACTCCGCGCTTTGCGCACAGAGAATACGCTGGTAGCTATCGTCGGCAACGCGAGAATCACCGCTATCGACTGGGATTTAGGTATGCCGGAATGCCATCTCAAGGGGATTGAAATGCTTTGGGATACTGGTGCTACCAGCACTATTATCACGAAAGACCTCCTAGGCCAAGATTTTCAAGCCCATCTATCAGACACAATCCATGCGCCATACAAAAACCAGAACGGCACTCGCGTTCAGATTTCCGTCAACCTCGAGTTTACCAACGCGCTGTTTAGCATGGATATTGTTGCATGGGTTGTGGGTAAAGAAGCACTCCCACCAAATACGCGGCCGGGTGTTATCCTGGGACAAAAGGATTGTATCAATGCCATCCAGTACAGATCTATCCCACGAACAATTCTTGAGGCCAGAGGGGAGTCGGTTAATGAAATGTTCTGGGGTGATTTGATTCTGGAGAGCTATGTTGATTTTGACGGAACATTGAAGGAGATTGTTTAGCTTTGCTTGTCCTGTACTTTTGATTTTGCTGCCCTGGTGTTTCTGTGTGTATCGAATATACTGGGGGATTTTCATGTATTATTAACTGCTCAGGCGAAGTCACCATGCAAGAATTGAATTTAATTGTTGAATGCAGAGAGTAATTTAGCACACACCATGGATAATTATATCCTTTGCATAACTGGGAACTCATCACGGCCTCACTCATCTAATTCATCTAATTGGCAGATGTTGAGGGCATTTTTGACGACAAGGGGATGTATATGCGGCGTGGCTCAGGTATGTAGGGGTAGAATTGTTCCAGGATCTAGCTGATGTTGACAACATAAAGTGGATCGATCCATTGACATCTGGGATGGAATATTAATTAAATAATATGATGAGAGGTTGTCAAATTATGAGAGTAGAATGTCGACCAAAATGAATTATATTAGGTGTCAGGGTGCAGAGTCAGATTCAGATATTCATTAACTAGGGGCTAACTAGACAGAACAGTAGAATAGTAGGTATTAGGTAATAGATAGGATATAGTTTAAAGAGCTATAATAAGATTAGAAGTAATATAATTTAAATATAAAAATAAAGATAAATAATTAGAATAAAATTTAATTAAATAAATATATTATAGTGCAAAGCTATAGTACTTATTTAGTTAGATTCTATCTTAACTATCTACCCTTATTTCTATATTTAAGCTATATTATTCCTAATCTTATTATAGTTCTTTAAGCTATGTCCTATTTATTACCTAATATTTACTATTCTACTATTCTGTCTAGTTAGCTCCTAGTTAATAAATATCTAAATCTAATTTTATATCCTAATATTATATAACTCCTCTCTACTAGAAATTAATTATTACTATTATACCTACCTTACTATTTATATTACTTAAAGATATAGAAACTCTCTTATATAATATTCCTAATAAATTAAGATAATATATTATTAAGATATACTAGTTCTTTATTACTACTATAAAAGAATTTTATAAATTATTTATCTTATACTTTATTATTACTAATCTTCTTAATTATATTTAATAAAAAAATAATATAATTAAGTACTAGAAGATATAAGCTAAAAAAGTTTAATAAGAATTATTTAAAATACTTACTTAAAATAATATACCTTCTTAATTACTATCTCTTTCTAGAAGAAATACTAATATTACTATTTCTCTTATTATTATTATTATTCTTATTATATCTATTTTTATTATCTAAATCTCTAAATAACTTCCTAATCTTAATAAATTTAATAATTAATAAAGTAACTTAAAATATTTTACTTCTTAAATCTACTAGAAGATAATTATAAATTTTAATTATTTTTTAATTCTAAATAATAGAATAGCTTATATAATTAGTTATTTTAAAGGAACTTTATATACCTAAATCTTATTATATATTTAAAATAGAATCTATAAACTAAATAATTATATTAAGATTTTAGAAATTCTAGAGAAAGTTTTTAAAAATCTAAATTTAGAAATTAATATTTATACTAATTTATTCTATCTTTAATAAATTTATTATAAGTTTAATATCTTTTTTACTAAATTTTAATACCTTATATTAGAAAGAAATATAAATAAAGATATCTTATTTATAATTCTAGAATAAACTATTAATTAAGAACTTTAAGAATTATTAATATACTTTAAAGCTTTATTATAAAATTATTATATCTTTATTAATTATTTATAAAATCTAGAAAATTACTATAATTATTATATAAGTATTATCTTACCCCTATCTATAAAAAATTCCTAGCCTTCTTAATCTATTTTAAAGCTAATTCCTACTATCTAAATTCTTATAGGCCCTATTAATCCTATTATTATTACTACTCCTACTAAAGACTTAATAGACCTATCTATTACTTACTACCTTAATTATTAAATCTAATACCTATATTACTACTATAGTAGTACTAATTATCTAGTAGGTAGCTACTTATACCCTAACTAAAGACTAACTAGCTATACCTTTATATCTACTACTAAACTAGACTTATATCTTTTATTAATTAAAATCTTACTTACTAAATATTTTTTATTCCCTAAATTAGAAAATAGAGTATCCTTAATCTAAGTTATAATTAAGGATACCTCTAGTATTCCCTCTACTTATTAAAAGCTATAATAGCTAGAATAATAGTAGAGAAAGAAAGTTACTAATCTAAATTAATAATTCTACTTATTAACGTAATTCCTAGGTCATCCAGCCACCACAAGTCATCCAGCCACCTACCAAATTCTACCAATTATTAAAAAACTTGAAGCTATTCCTAACTACTAAAACATGTGTATTTCTATTAATTCTAATTATTTAAATATGTAGGACATCTAATTTTAGTATAATCTTGAATATTATAATTAAAGCATGTTGGTGGAGCGCGTTTTAAACCTTCTAAAGATAGTATTCTAACTAATACTAGATTAATATTTTTACTAGTAGACCTATTATTTTACCTATTTTATAATAAAATTAGATCTCTTACTTCTTATACTAAAATACCTTTATTAGGAGTTATCTAGTATTTAGATTAACTCCTTTTTTACTTCTTCTTTATATTTTCTAACCAGAGTTTGCAAATTTTAGCTTTTATTAAAGTTATATTATAGATAGTAACTTCACATCCTTTAACTAACTAGTTAAATGCCACTCTAGATACTATTTTAGAAGGCAAAGAAGAACTTTCAGATTAAATTTAAAGAGTCTTCTTAATAAAAGATATCTTTTTATATAACTAGTAAATAGTATAAGGGGTTATAATAATAAAAGAGCTAGTAGATTCTCTATAATTTCTAGAAGGGATAAGTATAGATAGAATATTTAATTTAGTAAGGATCTAGTAGAGATTCTATAGTAGTATTCTAGCTACAGCAAAGCTATTTTAAATATTTTAAGATATAAAGACCTTCTAGTAGGCCTCTAGATAGATCTTTAGGAAGTCTAGTTTATTAATATAATTAGATTCTAGTTAAGTCTTTACCTCTATCAAGCCCCTATATATACATTTTAATAGTCCAAAGCAACTAATATTTAATAGTTATAGAAGATAGGATAAATAGGGTAGTATATAAATAGTAATAATATTATTATTATTATATATCTTATTAAAAGCAGGTATTAGATAACTTCCATGGCTATTTAAGACTAGTAATTAATATCTTCTAACTATATAGCCTATAAAGGATAGGATAAAGACTTTTTAAAGCTATTAAAGACCTATTTTATCTATAATCTAGCTATTAGTACTAACTTTAATCCTTTAATCTAATAGTAAAAGATTTTCTTTAAATTATTCTTTAATATAGCATTTTCCTTTAAAGATAATATATAAAGGTAAACTCTAACCTCTTATATTAATATATTTAATAGTAGTAACCTATTCTTAATTATCTAGTTAGATAAGATAAGGTCTTCTAGATATACTAGATCTAGTAATTACTCTAGTAGTTATTATTAAACCTATTATAAAGCTAGTTTTATTAAAATTATAAATATCTTTATTAGCAATACTATATTATAATCAGGTAGCTTATAATTAATCAAATTATTAATTTAATATCTTTAGATCCTTATATTTAGCTTATTAGTAATTATATTTTCTTATAAATTAATTTTTAATTAAATTATAGTATATAATAAAATTTATTACCTAGTTTTTTCTAATTAGTAGTTAGGTAATTAAACTACCTAATTAAAGTAAGATATAAGCTATTTCTACTATATATATTAGTTTAGGAGCAACTCTATACTTATCTCTAGATATAATCTATTCTAATAGAGTATCCTCCTAGATTTTAGATAGCTAGAGATTATGGTTGTAGAATTCTGCTTAATATTAGTAACTATATAAGTAATTAGTTAAGGTAGATCAAGGTATATTATAAATAATAGCTATATAATAAATATTTAGAATTTTACTATTTTTAAAGGCTTGAATAGCAAGCTAGATCCTACCCTCTTACTCTACCAAGTTTCAAGTTGATTAACGCGCTTTTGGTGGCATGGTAATAGTTTGAATAGTAATGTGTAATTAAACGCGTGAAAATTTGGTAGGTGGCTGGATGACTTGTGGTGGCTGGATGACCTAGGAATTACGTTAATCTAGAAATCCTTAATAAGATTTTACTAATTTTTATTATAATTAACTCTAGAGTTAAGAGTAAATATTTTATAGATTATAATTAGGCTATAAATAATTAATTAAAGATATTATTATTAAGAAATCTTATTTTATTAAAGAAATTTAATAATACTTTAATAAAATCTAATTATATTATTTATTTTATTTATTTAATTTAAAAAATTTATAATTATATTAAAAAAAATATTACTTTTCTTATAATCTAACTTATATATTTTTTTATTATTTTTAAATTATTCTAGTTAAAGATTTATAATTCCTAGATTAAATTTATTAATTATATTATTTTATTTAAAAGCCTTTATTATAAAAAATACTATAATATATTTTTAAAATTTATAAAAATTTTAATATTATATAATATACTATTAAAATTTTCTTCTTAATATCTTAATCCCTATCTTAAATCTTTAAAGAACTAAGATATTACTAGAGTCTTAATTACTACTTATACTATATATACCTGCTATAAATACTAGATATTTATTACTACTATTATAGATATTAAAGCTATTTTAAACTTTATTATTATTATTAAATCTAAGTTATAAGAGTAACTATTCCTTAAATTTATTAAGTTTTATAATATATTCTTATTAAAAAAGGCTAAGTACTTGCTACCTTATTAACTTAATAATTATAAAATTAAATTATTACTTAAAAAAACTTTATTATTTAGGAACCTATATAATATATCCTAAAATAAATTAAAAGTTCTAAAAAAATAAATTAAAAAAAATTTAAAAAAAGATTTTATTTATTCTAGTTTCTTTCTTATTATATTTCCTATTCTATTTATAAAGAAACCTAGAGGAGGCCTATAATTCTATATAAATTACTAAGTCCTAAATATAATTATTATAAAAGATTATTACTTATTATTATTAATAAAAGAGATATTAAATAATTTAAAAGAAATAAAGTATTTCTTAAAAATTAATATTATTTCTACTTTTAATAATTTATAGATTAAGAA